GCTTCAGTCGTCCGAAATGAGCTCCAAAGCTTCGGTCGTCCGAAACTCTATTTCGGAAGTCCGAAGAGAAAATGCTGAGAGGGTGCAGAAGGTTCGGTCGACCGAACCCATTTCGTTCGACCAAAATGAGATCCCGAGAGTGAAGAGTTCTGTTTCGGTCGACCGATGCATCATTTCGGTCGACCGAAATGACAATCCCGAGCCTTGATTTTTCTGCAACTGGTCTACTGCTTTTAAAGAAAGGGTGAGAGACTGATAAGAAGGCTTGGGAATGATTCAAGTTCAATTTAAAACGTCTAACATAAATCATTCTATGATTAGAAACAAACTAACTAACTCGTGATCACATTACGACATTATTGGTTAAAATACATAGAATTATATATATATATATATATATATATAAAATACTTTCAACACTTCAATTACATCAACAAAGTGAGTTCCATTCTTAATCTACAAGGCCACTAGGACAACTTTAATTACATTTCTAAAACTATACATATACAAGAAGGTGGCCTAATACAAAAGGAACAAAAATGATCTTCTAACATCTCTCAAGCTTGAGGTAGATTATCGTCCACCAGTTCTTTCCCAAGACCTGAAAAAAAAAAAAAAAAGATATATATAGTAGGGTGAGCATAAAGGTCAGCAGGTGACACTTAAGACACATATCTTGTGTCCTTGTGAATCCGTACAAAGAATAGGCCAATGAGAGATGGGGATCATACAATGATGGGAAACAATACAACATTCCATCCAAATGCAAGCACAAAGATTTCAATACCATGGAATGCAAATGCATGCCGATGTCGCTCCCCATTTTCATTCTCAAAACTATCACTTTCAAACTGTTAATACAGCCTACCCTTTAGTGACCCCGCCGCGACGCGAGAGGAAGATTGGCTAGTGTCCCTGACCCTTGGTAACCCCGTGGCGTCATTATGGGGCCCAACTAGCTCAACTACGCTAAGGCGATTCCCTAGTCCCCTCTAAGCTATATTAACCTCTGGCCCGTTGGTAACCCCACAACGACCGGGTTTTCCAAAACCATTTCACAAAAACTCTTCTCCCAAAATTTCCCTTTTTGTTTTCGAAACAATTTCTCCCATTTCATGCAAACCCAATGGTATGTGCATGTAACTATATGTACCACACATTCAATGTCATGGCATTTAAAATTCTACACCATAAAATTAAACATACAACATGTTCAACATCTCCAAAATAATTATTAACACATTAAGATATAACAAAATACATTTAAGCATGTTTTTCACATAGAACAACTCACACTCATACACATGGATTTCTCTAGACAACATATAAATCATCATTGATACAATTAACTTCTAATTGAGCATGCTTGGCACAACAAGGAGGTATAACTCACAATGGAACAAGAAGAAAGTGGATTAAGATATTCCTACCTTAAAAGTGAGCCAAAACCCTTTAAATGGGTCCTAAATTTTGAAGGCCAAGGGGAGACCACAAGTTGAAATTGATGGTACTAATGCGTAAAGCTCGTCGTGCTCTTCGTTTTGTCTCAAACGGCACTTAAATCCGGCAAGAAATGAAGCTAGATTCCTGATTCAAAGTTGGCTTCCAAAAAGAGAAGAAAAATGATGTAAAATGAAAGAAAGAAGGAAATTGATGGGGAGAGAGAAAGTGAGATCCAAAAATGGTCTCTAGACCATTAAAAGAGTGAGTGGTGGGTCCCGCCATTAACTTTTCTTTTCTCTTTTTCTTTATTCCTTCATTCTACACCACATATGAGTACATAGTGCACCAAAAACAAATACCACTTAATCCACATTATTTAAAATGCACAAAATGCAGTTGGACCCAACCACAATCCCGCACGCAAAATGCGAAAAGTCAAAATTACCTTTACGGCAACAAAAGTTTTCAGAAAATTGAAAAATGCTGAAAATTGGAAACGTTACAGTGCGGCCCTTCGGCCCTCCTGTGCGTGACTTCAACGGACGCCTCTTCCTGGGAAGATGGAGGCTCTCCCCCCAACTGCATTAATTCCTCCTCATCGACACAACTTCAGTGCACCGTCTTCGTTCTTAGACCCCTCCCGAATCGACAAATGGGCATCCCACCATGCTTTGCCCCAAGTCCTGCTCTGATACCATTTGTCACGAGCCTAAAGATTTGGTGCAGCGATATAGCCCGTGCGGCACCAAGGCGTTGCTTCAGCTCGCGCAAGTGCCCTGGTCAGCCACCACGACTTGTCCTCCCAAGGATGCATACTGACTGGTTTCGACCTGCCTTGGTCTCATCAGGAGAACGACTCTAGCTCCTAACCAGTTTGTGTAGGGATGGCCAACTCTTTCTTCATAGTCAAGTCCACGACCAGACAAGCTCCTCGCACTCAACCGAGTCGACCTGCCTGAACTCTGAAGAGATACCATCCTGTGTTCCTGCACGCCCCTTCCTTAGAGCCATTCCCAGTCAAACTCTGCTCTTTGCTAACCATGTCTTCCATACTTCAAGCGTCTTAGGAATCATTTCGTGACATTATGCATACTAGATTAATTCTAAGTTTTCTTTTAAAATAAATTAATTGAATCAGATTACATAGATTAACTTAGAAATTACAATTCATGTATTTTAATAATGGATTTTAAATTTTTCTTTCTTCTATTGAACTGGGTTTTTTTCTTTTCTTTTCCTTTTTTTTTTTCTTCTTTTTTCTTTTTAAGCATGATTCAGTGTGTTAATAAAACTGGATTCTTTATTGTTTATTATTTTTCTGTTGAGCATGATTCAATATATTGTTATGCTATAAGTTAGAATCTGATTTTTGGTGGTTGTCTTCGTGCACGCCGAACGAAGAAAACTCCAATAATGAAACAGTGTGTGCATATGTAGTAAATTAGATGTTGTGTTGCATTAAATAAATTTTTATATTACTCTAACCATTACTCGAACCCTCCGAACAAGGAAGGAAACATTAGCATCAGTTTTGTTGAATTGAAATTTCAATCTCATTATTTCCATAAACTTACACGCCACACGAGGAAAAAGTAAAACAACAAAACTGATGGTATGAAACATTAGCATCAGTTTTGTTAAATTTAAATTTAAATTTTATTATTTCTTATTATTTAATTATTAGTTTTATTTAGGGGTTCACAATATTAATTCTCGAGTTATAATTTAATTAATTACTAGTATCCGAAGATTGGAGGATTTTATTATTGGATTTTTAATTATTATTTATTTGAGGATTTTAAAATAAGAATTTATTATTTAGTTTCTTGCAGCTTATTATTTATTTATTTCTTTATTATTCTTTTTTGTATTCAAATACTTATTTATATACTTAATTGTTTGGTATCCCTCGGATCTGTGTTCGGATTTGATGACCCGTAATTCTAAAATCGAGAGGTATCACAATCTACTATTACTTAATCATAACTAAATGTCTATATTTTGTGCAACTTGCGAGTTGCAAATCTAATTTCTTATAGTCGTCTCTCTCTCACGCCACTATTTTTTATTAATTCACTATTTGGCGCAAGTCTTTATGTATAATAAACTTGATTTCTTGTAAAATCAACTTCTGCATCATTCGTTAGGTTTCATTATTTTTGAGCCATTTTATTTAGTCAACCGTGTTACCAACTCTTATATTGTGATTTAATCCTGGAGCAAACGAGTTCAGTCCTTGTCATGATCTTTAAAATAAACAAATGTCACAGGGACATTTGCGCCGCCATCAAGGACAAGTTCTCATCTTCATTGTGAACCAATCTTGTGGACGACTTACTGAATAAATTATTATGGCATGACATGATCATTGGATCCACTACAAAGTAGATAAATTATTATGCCACTTGTTAATAGTGGGACCGACCCATCACAAAGTAAATTTTCTTAAAAAAAATTTACTCATTTTTTAATATTATATAAATCTTTGTATCCAATAATATCATGCAGCGTCAACGTATGAGAAAGGATAATAATGTTCGTCTCCTGTGTAGTCATTATTAATTCGTCATGCTGACAATCGCGAGATTGTCAAGCTCCATTTCCATGCAATAGGATGAAAGAAAGACAAGGAATTTAATGTATATAAGATCGTTCACATTGTTTGGTACGAGTCATATGATATATGAACTATATATTTGAATATTCAAATGATACATACTTCACTGAACGAGTCTATCATTCATTCGTACAGATGTTATCGCCACCAGCTTTCACCTTTAGCTCAAAAGCGTGACTTCACACATTGTTGATCCAACGGCTGAGAAAACGCATGTAAAATGTATTAATTTTAAAGCCTGTGTTGGGCAATAGAACAAGTCGAATGTCGTAGGTAAAGAGGGGATTTAGAATTTACATAGAATAAGGATCACTTCATCTAATAGATTGGGTTGGGTATTCCTAACCCGGTTGTAAAACCTGGTATAAGAGCCACGTTTGGTGACGATTTGTCCACCAAAAAGTCTCATTCAATAAAAAATTGTTGGACAGTCGGAAGAGTCTCACATCGATTGGTAAAGAGGGAAATCTGATACTTATATGAGGTGAATGTCGAGTTAACCTTTGGGTTGGGAGGTAGGTTAATCTTTTGGGTTGGATGCTCCCAACCCGGCAACTGGTATAAGAGTGACATCCGGTAACATTCTATTCACTATAGAACCTCACTTGAGAGGAGATCGTGAAGTACACATGGGTTGGTGAAGACGGAGTCAAGTCTTATACGAGACAATGGTCACTCCACGTAATGAGTTAAACCTTTGAGTTAGACATTCCCAACACAACACTTTGAAAACTTTAATTTACGCATATATATGTAAGAAAAGATCATCCAATTAATTCCTTGGACTCATTCAATCTTGGCCTCATGAATAAGCCATTATATTCATGACTTTGCCTCATAATTTTTTTCAGGAACCACTCTATACCAAAATTAATTCACACTCAGAAGAGAAACAATGAGCTTTTCTTATAGTACTATGCTACTTCTATATTTTTTGTTAATGGTGAAGTTAGCAGCAATATTTGCAGCATCAACACCAGCAGCAACAGCTCTTGCCAAGCCGGGCTGTCCAAGCAGCTGTGGCAACCTTACCATTCCATACCCTTTTGGCACACGCGAGGATTGTTACCTCGATACATCTTTCCTTGTAACATGTGATGCCTCCAACCAACTATTTCTACAAGACAGCATCATACCTGTTCTGAACATATCAGAATTTGATGGCGAGTTGCGAATCTTGAGCTGGGTAGCTGCAGATTGTTATGATCAATCGGGTGGATTGATTCGTCGCAATGATCCATGGATTAGAGTTCCCGAATTCCCCATCTCACAAACCAAAAACTCGTTCATAGTCATAGGCTGTGACTCTTACGCGTACGTGAGAGGTTCTCTGGGAGTTAAGTACGCCACAGGGTGCATGTCCCTGTGTGATGCTATTGATGATGTGGTCAATGGTTCGTGCTCTGGCATCGGTTGTTGCCAAACAACAATTCCAGAAGGAGTAATAGATTTTAATTTGAGCGCGAGAAGTTTCAATAACCATACAAATATTGCAGACTTCAATCCTTGTAGCTTCGCTTTTGTTGTCGAAAATGGGCTGTATAACTTTTCCAGAGTCGATCTTTTCAATCTAAGCAACATTGAGATGATGCCGGTGGTGCTTGAATGGGACATTCCCAATGAAAGTTGTGCAGAAGCCAGAACGAATGTCACCAGCTACGCATGCGGCAAAAATAGCATATGCAATGACACCAATATTAATGGTAAAGGATATCGCTGCAATTGTTCTCAAGGTTATCAGGGGAACCCTTACCTTCCTGATGGTTGTCAAGGTATATATGTAACACATTTATGTACATGTTTTATGTTTATGTTGTTCTCTTTATTATTTTTCTCTTTTTTTGAAGGAACAAAAAATAAAAATTAATGATTCGTCTTTTGTTTGGATTGTTTGCAGATATTAACGAGTGCTTGAGTCCAGAACTCAATCTATGCACCAATGTTTCGTCGGAAAATGTTTGTCGCAACACAAATGGGAGCTTTACTTGCTCGTGCCCAAAAGGGTATCACGGGGATGGCAGAAAAGATGGCAGGGGTTGCATTTCAAATAAATTATGGCTAAAGATCATGATTGGTAAGATGGAGTAGATTTTCGATTCTGTTATAAAGCTTCCTTTAAAGGTTGTGGTGAAATGTTTGTGAAATAAGAGTACTTTTGCATTCTGTTATTGCTCTAGGTTTGATTGAAATGCCTTGAATTGATTGTAGGTATTGGCATAACAATTTTGGGATCACTTCTGGTATGTCTTTTGTTATATTTGGTTATCAGGAGAAGAAGAAAGCTTATCGAACAGAGAGAGAAACTTTTTCAGCAAAATGGTGGTTCGATGATAAAAGAAAAACTCTCAAAGCTAGATGGTTCAGTTGAGAAAGCCAAAATCTACACCATAGAAGAGCTCAATAAGGCAACCAATAATTTTCATGAAAGTGGAATCATTGGTCGTGGAGGATTTGGTACAGTCTACAAAGGAATTCTACCCCAAAACAAAATAGTTGCTATCAAGAAGTCCACAATAGTTGATGGAAGTCAAATTGAGCAATTTGTTAACGAGGTGGTTGTGCTTTCTCAAGTCAACCACAGAAATGTGGTAAAACTATTGGGCTGTTGTTTAGAGACGGAAGTCCCCTTGCTGATTTATGAATTTATCACCAACGGGACTCTGCACCGCCATCTACATGAGGGAGGCCATGGGTCATCACTTCCTTGGAAAGTTCGTTTAAGGATAGCCAAAGAAACTGCCAGAGCGCTTTCATATTTGCACTCTGCAACTTCTACGCCAATCATTCATAGAGATGTTAAGTCTACTAACATACTCTTGGACGAAAACTTCACTGCAAAAGTCTCAGACTTTGGAGCCTCAAGACTAGTACCATTGGATAAAACTCAGTTTACCACAATGGTTCAAGGAACACTCGGGTACCTAGATCCAGAATATTTCCATACAAGCCAATTGTCAGAAAAAAGTGACGTTTATAGTTTTGGAGTGGTCCTTGTGGAGCTACTTACAGGCAGAATGGCAGTTTCTTTTAACAGACCAGAGAAAGAGAGAAGCTTAGCAACATATTTCATCTCTTCAATGAACGAAAATCGCTTGTCCCTTGTTCTAGATGATCAAATCGTGAACGAGGATAATGCAGATCAGGTACGTGAAGTTGCTAAGCTTGCACAGAGTTGCCTAAGGTTGAAGGGGGAAGAACGGCCTACAATGAGGGAAGTGACAGTGGAGCTCGAGGGACTAATGCGAGTGGAGAAGCACGTTTGGGCCTTTTCTGAAGTCACTCCTGAGGAGACCCTGTACTTGCTAGGTGAATCGCATGGCTTGGGCAATACTAGCACCACAGTTGGGTATGACAGTCTGAGGAACCAAGCCATAATGCCATTAGAGCTAGATGGTGGCCGTTGAGTTTAAGCATAATTTCAGTACAGTGATATGAATAAACTGTTATATGAACAGTACATATAGTCCGTCAATGTCGCAACTACCAGAGAGGAGCAGTGTACTTGTAATGTAGAACGATAGTGATAATTACTTTTTTCTTGTATTAAAGTTGTTGTTTATTGTATGTTAAATATATTGATCATGCAAGTTTATGTTACAGCTAATAAATTTCATATTGTCTAAGTTTAATTTTACCTATTTTTTAAAGCATCTGGCCTATTAAAAGAAGTTTGGAAAAATATTTGCCATTTACATTTTACTTTTGCACCATCAATTGTCAAATAACCAGTACCTCCAGATGCTATGCAAAACTTCTTAAGGAGATTTTAAAAAAGGACAGTTTCAAATATTAGTTCCAATCCTGCAACCATTCAAGATAAAAATGTTACGTAAAATGTTATTGTGGCCCTTCTATTTCGGGTGACATCAGATATCGGAACAAGCTAAAAAGTGTGGAGGATTAGGCCTTTCAAAGCTTGGACGCAATCAATAAAAGCTGCATACCTCAAACATTTGTGGAGACAACAAAAATAGCATTTGGGTGCAGTAGGTGAAAATTCAGTTGTGGGCCCTTCCACTAGCTATCCCAACGAATGGATGTACATATTTCTTATACATATATGTATAATCAATTTTAACTTTCAAAATAAATAAATTAATAAAATAGAGAGTAGTTAATTTTATGACAAAAATTATTATAGGTTAGGTCGTATGAAATTGATGTTTTGAAATTAAAATTAAAAAATTAATTAATTTAAAATTTTAAAATTAATTAATTTAAAATTTAAACTATTGTTTCTCCAATTCCATACCACTAAACATTTTAGATTATACTTGATTTATTCGATATTACAACTAATCCAGGCTGAACATTTCAGATTATAGTTGATTTATTCGATATTACAACTAATGCAGATACAGAATCAGTTAAGCCCCATTTTTATGCACTTAATAGAACTTCTTCTAATATATATTTACACACGTTGGATTTTACCATGGTCACATATGTATATATTTACACACACATAGATTACTCTGCGACCATAAGGGCTGTAGGGGCATGACTCAGTCAGCAGAAATTGGAATATTTTCTTTTAGATTTTCTGCCACTTGCTCTCAAATATGGATATAACTATAAAATGCAGTACCATCGCTCTCCTTCCTGGTAAACCAACTACAGGTGGAAATGGACAGTTTTTCATGGGTGATACTGGGACTAAACAACAGTAAAATTACGATAAAAGACTATATACATCAGCAAACTCGCATATATTCAATAAGTAGTTCATGACCTCTCTCTCAGGCACACTAGTAGTCATTCGTGTAAGACAATCCTGAGCACAAATCTGAAAAACTGAACTGCTAAATGGCACATACAAATCATCACACATCTTCCCAACCACATTTGTTCAACGATTTATTTAAAAAGCCCCATGAACCCAGTACTTCAATATTACCATCATATAAAGAACTCGTACCAACTATAAATAACCCCGTCAAAACGATCTATTGGGATTGGAAGACGAAGACTTGGCTTTTGCAAAATCGACCAGATCTTTGAAGAGCGCATCTTCTTCTTTCTCTTGTTTGGTAGGGGTTGACGACTTAAGAGAGAGATTCTGGGTATGCCCAACTAAGCTGTCATAAGAGGAACCAGCTCCCCTACCTGAATGAGATGCGCCGCCAGAAAATGAGTGGTGTTGGTCGAAGAACTGTTGCCTCTGGTTAAACTTGGAAGGCGGAGGTGGAAGGTTGCCAGGAGATTTGGACAATGCAACGGGTTCATCATTTGTGGGCTGCTCGGCGAACATGGATGCAGTGGGGTTTATGAAATCAGAGGGAGGGGATGAGGAGGACACTGTTCGATTTGATGACGGGATGGAGTCTCTGTTGTTTGAGTGAGTTGGAACTGCAACAGGTACGGACCCTGATGCTCCAGAAGATCTTTCAGAATTGTAGGCATCACCACTTAGATAATCAATCGTCCCAGCATCTGTAATAATAGGATTCTTTGAGGAGGGTGGAGGAGGAAGAAGAGGGCTGACTCGCACAGGTATATTCTCAACATTTACTGGTTTGCGCCCGTATCCCTGGGGAACATCCCTTGATGACCTGCAATGATACATACACCTGTTATTACTAGATTATAATATTTAGTAAACAAGGCCAGTGGAAATGCATTAGAAACATCATTCTTATGTATAGTGATAAAATAACAAAAAATTTAAGAGGATTATAAGTTTGGACAAACATAATCTCCAAAAAACCATGCATGGAAAACATGGGATTTTGTCTGAATGTGAAACAGGATAATGGAAAATAACCTAGGCAAGAATTTTCCTCTTTTCTTTTTCTAACCATCAATGTACTTATAGATTTGTTTCTAGCAGAGCATACATGCCAACTAGATAGAACAGGATATGGATTGCACCTCTTTCCATGTAGCCTTCACACGTTTGAAAGAGACACATAGAAGCAAGTACAAAATATAATTCAAGTTATTTTCGAAAAAAAAGTACAAAATATAATTCAAGTTACAATAGGCTTCATACAATGAAAGAGCCATCCAAAGTTTTGGCACGACATCTCAAAGAAGGAAGGGGGTTAAAGATTGCATATCATCTCACTTATCAAGTCCAAAAATTGAAAAAAACACACAGAATCACAGACGAAATAAATATATAAAGCAATGGAACCATTGGATACTTCTTTAACGTGTATCTCTATTTTTATTTCCTAACCACCTAGATATTTTCTTAATATAGTGAGACTAAAATTAATATTTCAGATTTCAATTTCTAAATACCATAAAACACTTCAAAACCTTTTCACTTCACAAACAACTATACTAGCAAAAAGTTGAAAATTAAACCATGTCGCCATGTCGGACAACTTGCACAATATAATTCAATAAATCAAAAATGATGAGGAACAAACTAACAAGGACACGGGCATGGGTGCCAGTGTCTAAAACAAACTCAAGTTATCTGATACAAAATACTCAAGATATTTGATATATACAATTCCGTTGTTATTTCATGTCTAAATATTTCTTTGAGTCGCAGAACAGACAGTTTCAGCCATTCGTTCCCAAGGAGTTAAAAGAACTTTGTTTGGTGAGGAGTACAAGGGACCATGTTCTTGCAAATAGATGCTCTACTCTTTTACAACAAAGGCAAGTTAAAGTTAACACAGTGAGGAGGGGGTGAATGAGACCGAAGATGATAACGCTGATCAGAATAAAAATTAGTTGGAAAATGAAAGGGTACTTTCATCTTTATCGAAATATTCTTTCCTTCCAATCCAATTTCATAGTAATAACTTCCCTTAAATTCCTCGCTGAACAAATCTGAGATACCAAATTCAATCTTTTTGAATGTCCATAATGTCATTTCTAATCTGCTATTTTTCAATGCATTAGTTGATAGAAAATTGCACAAGTAGCAGTCAAATTCACCCCACTTATGAGCTTGACAGTAACAAAATATAGAAGGTAAAGTCATAAAATAACCTGTGAGCTAGCTGGGAAAAATCTTCTTCTGACTCATCATCCTCGTGATTCACATTCAACAGAGGTGCAACTGGAGTTTCTGTAGTTCCTACTCCAACAGTAGGGGTTCCTTTTGCAATATCATCATGCCGGCGAAGAACACGCTGCAAGTTATCATTCAAAGCCAATCCCTTACATAGAAGCTCCTCATCTCTGAAAGGAACGCAACCACCATTATCAGTAATTAATTTTAAATGATTAAAAGCTACAAAGAAATTCCGGACCATATCCTTACACAGTATTGTTCACAAGAATCATGACACGCTTTTGGTAAGAACGGCACTGGTCAACAAGGTCAACAATCACCTCTTGCTTTACACCCTGCCACAAAATCAGAAGAAGAAAAAAATAGTATAATTTATCAGATGGGGTCTATAATGTTTCTTATCGCAACAAGAGATGCTTACTTTTTGCTTATGTTGTAAAGCAAATAAAAAAGTCAATATAAAGGTATGCATTAAGTTCACAACTCCAAAATTCTAATCACATGCATAAATCTCAGTATACTAATTTAATCGGAAGACAGAAGTTTTTAGGAAGTTCCACAATCTCTGAGTACATTCTACAATAATGACACAAGTTGAAGACTCTTCCAGCAATAATAGGATTAGACATTCCATTTCCTAGCCAACACGGCTACTTGTGTATCTTCAGCCCCTAATTCTATTTCTGCAGAAATAGCATTCTCTAATTAAAAATTCAGTAGATAATCTATCCATCAATACATCTTTAGTCACAATGTTTCGCTCTGATCCTGCCACCAAGCCTTTGTCCTCCATCCAGAATTATGAAATCAGATTTTAGAAAATTTAACATGAGCAGCACATACTGACACAAAATGTCCTACATCTTTAGTCACAATGTTTCACTCCTGCACTGCTAATTGGAGATATTTGACAGTTGTTTAGACATCACTGTCTTTCATGGAACACTGTCGAAAGATAGAAGATGAAGAAATCGGTGACTTCAAATTTAAGTTTGACGGTTGATCAGAAATTGCTCCATTAACTTGGTTGGCTTTCTCCGCAGACTCACTAGAAGACAAAAAGAAGGGGGTGGTCAAATTTTGTTTTTCTTGACAGCCAAGGGCTTTTCTAACCAAAACTAAGATTAATTCCTGTATAACTTTGATTACTTAATTAGGAGAAACAAAGATAATTATGAGCATATTTCTTAACATTTCGCATTAACTGATTCTGAAATGCATTTTTTTCAAAAATCCCAACATTTGCGTATCACGTACTTGTCAAAAAGATTGTACAATGGGAGCCCAAGTCCGTGATTTTTGGAGGGTTGCGCCTTTGTGCGTCTGGTGGTGTTTATGGCTTGAAGGAAATAGGAGATCCTTTCAAGGAAAGGAGGCTCTTATTGGGACATCGAAATTCTCCATCATTAGTACCCTTTTTTGTTGGGTTCTAGGAAGAAATTGTAAATCCATGGAGGAGATTGTTAATTTTTTGGACTCTTTGAGAGTTTAAAGGCCCTATTTAGCCTTGTGTAGCTTTTGAGGGATGTGTTCCCCTTTTGAATGCCTTTTCTAATGCAAATATTACATGTCAAAAATAAAAATAAAATAAAATAACATGCAGATAACATTAAATAGGACTATAGAGACGCATAGTTGTTATGTATAGCACATGGAATGGCTAGTTGTTATGAATAACACATGGAATGGCTCTATTAGGCAACCATCCAGATTTCAAATCCAATATCCTTTAGTCCAAACTCAAGCAAATCTAGAAGCAAGAGAATGCAGAAAACATTGAACAGAAAAGGGAGAAGAAAAATAATCATAGAGACAGTGTGAATGGCTCAACCAATATAAACAGCAAAGCAACTTATATTCCTACAAAGGGGAAACAAGGGAATAAAGAATCATATATTCCTACAAAGAGTTCTTTTTAAAATAAATAAATAAGTCATTACCTCACGATTTTGAGGATCCAAGGCACCAAGCACTTCCATTAATACATCTGCCAGCCCCTCAGCACTTTGAATCTCTGCGAAGCTGCATTTAAAACAAATCTTAAGATTATAAAAAAATATTTATGTAAACTTATGGTAAAAACACCCTAAAAACAGTTTTAAAAAATATAAACATGTTATCAAAACCAGTTAGATAAACTGAAATTTATTAGAGAAAAGAGAATATACAATAAAGTTCAAGCAAGCCCACAGGCAAAGCACATGGATACAAATTACAAAACAAGACAAATTAATTATTTCTGCTGGACTAATCCACTCAAGAAAAATTAGGCCACATAACTATACGGAACACACAGTTATAAAACTGCAAGAGTTACCATTTGCTTGACTAATATAATTATAAAAAATTAGGCACATAATTTGAGGCAACACCTAAAGATAAAATGCAGCTTTACAATCTCCCTCATTAGCTTGTAACATGTAACTATTAGAAGGGTAAATTACTCAAACCTTCCCTGAGGTTTGGTATTGCTGCAATACTACCTCCGTGAAGCTTGGCCAAAAGTGTGTGTATACATATACACACACACACACACACACACACGAACTAACAGACTGGGTACCCGATGCATGTGCAAATACTAGTATTGTGAACCATAGAGGTTGCGAAGTGATCGGACAGGATTGTGGAAAGTATGATTTTAGTACTGACAGGTATGCTAGTGCAATGGCGTTGTAGAAGCAGTGTAATGGCTGTGTCAGGGATGGAGATGGAGTAATGGGGTGAGTGGGAGCCAGCAGCACGTACTCATACGCCAATATTAGAAAGTAACTGAATAGTACTTTGATATAGATATAACTGAATTCGCTATTTTTAGGCATTAAAACAATTGTAATACTAAATAACATATAATTAGAATTCCAGCAATCCTGTTAAATACTTAACAGGTGAATACCCCTTGAACCAGACGTGTTAGTGAAAAACATATAAACGGAAAATAATAAGCCAACTGACAATCTGTTTTAGAAGTATCATGGAACACCATCTAATAGGTTTCAACTAAGATTGTGTCCAACCAACATAATGATGAGTTTTAACCATATTTTATACCATTTTTCTCCAGACTTCCTCAGACACTTCAATTATCGTCGTAAGAAAAACGAAGGAATCAAATGGCTAAAATTATTCAATCAAACTGAAATTGCAAACCAAAATCCAAAAAAGAAATGAATAAATGGTTCATTTCAAAAGTCTATGTAAACAAAGCTAAATCAGAACGAAGATCACATGCATCATTAGGAAATATATACATCTATACATATATATATATATATATATATATATATATATATATATATATATCTAAAGGTATACCAACGAAAGCCCACTAAATATCCACAAATAAGCTTTAAAAAAAAAATCTCTGTGCAGTGCAAGAAACAAAAACAATACGATACAGGATTCAAGTAATACCTGAGTCCAGAAGCATCCGACTGAAGAGAGGCCTGAACAGCAGTTTCCTCGTATACTGAAGCAGGGTGAATTATCGGTTGGGTTTGTGGCGGAGTAAACAATGGTACACTGTTTTCCACTCGGGGCGGAAATTCTACTCCAGCACCCTGGCAATTACCAAATAGAAGCTAATTAATGAGTTTCAAGATTAAAGGGACATTAAAGAAGAACAAAAGGGAAAAACAAGGCAATTTTCAACATGAAACAGCAACCCGAATGGAACAATATTTTACTTGATTAAAATGACACAAGTATATACAACCACAAGAGTATTAATGGAAATTTATTTTAGTTTTAGAAGTTAAAGATAAACATAAAGAAATATGCAATAAAAACTCTAAAAGGCACCATAAATGAATGTCATCATAAAAATAATAATGATAATGATAATGATAACAATAACAAAAGCCTATAGAACTGCCAAAATGATTACAACCTGCTGGCATTCTTTCCTTCACTAACACTCTTAAGAAATGAAGTACTTGAGGTGATGGAGTTAATTATAGGTACCGTATTGCAATAAAAGCCATTATTTGAAATGTTCTCTTGAATGTTGAGTATGTAGCATTAAAGGAACATAAGCCCAGTATAATAAATTCAAACACATATTCCCTCCCCAAGAAAGAAATGTTGATGTATAGGCTTGTACTAGCCAAATGTATAGATAAATTGTTTCTGCTAAAAATACATTAAAAAGTTAACATAGATAAAACAAAGTAAGGGTTGACCAATCACCTTCAGTTCATTATAAGCAGCAAAGTATTGGGGATACCTTCCCCTGGGCCCATCCAAAGCTTCTTGCCATGTATCTATCAAAATTAGTATCTTCTCCCTTACATTTAAATCAGGCTGCAAAATGAAAATTGAAAGGAAAGAGTAGGCAAGACATCAGTATTTGAATAATAATCATCACCCTTGCCTTTACCCCATATGATTAGGATAGGCTACATGAATTCTCTTTTAACATTCTATTATATTACAAATTTACAAGCCATGTCTCCTATTAATATTTGAATGAGAAAAAAAAAAATAACAGAAACAAGAGAGATAACAGAAGTGAATATAATTAACACCTTCTTCTTTACAATCTTGACCATATCATGTAAGATATCACGCTCAACAATATGTTGTAACACGTTGTCCCCACAATTTTTACTGAGAGTCTCCAATACCTAAAATCAGAAATTTGAAGAAGAAAATATTACTGTTGGGCAATAATGCACATATCAAATGCGTAACACAACTAGTGAAAAGTACAAACAAACACAACATGAGAAGGGGATCTGTTTACGGTTACTAAATCATCATCATCGTTCTTGCCTTTATCCCAAACAAATGGGGTCAGCATTTAGGGTAACTAAATGTGCCACACAAACCCAATCAAACTTGACTCATCATGAGCCTGTGCTTAGAGTCAGCAATAAATTCAAGCCTAGGAATGCATTCAAGCTTGATGACAAAAGAAACCTGAGCTACTCTAGGAGATGTCAGGTTAATTACAAACATTGTCATTTAATATATTAAAATCCCACTGAACGGAGGAACTGATATATCACTAATACTTGTCGTCCTAGCAAAGCAATACAATACAGATTACTTTATCAAGAAGTATTCCAATTAGCAACAATGAATCAATATTAGCTTTTAGACAGTTGGCTTGTTGTAATGTGCCAAAACTGAACTAAGGCTGGCTGAGTTTAAGCTTAACCCACTAGCAACAAACTGAGGACAATGTGAACAAGACAGACACAACAAGAACTAGAGCTTAAGTTCAAGAATCAAAATTGAACAAACTAGGCTCAACTTGCTCCATAATCCCAACTGCAGCAATGATAGCAATAATGATAATGATAATGAGGAATCATCTTTCAGCATGTGATATTCTTTTACATGACACCTAATTCAAATAGTTAAGAATTTTGAAAGCTGAAGGCATTACGCCAAGTGTCAAAACCTCCAAATTTTAAGGCATAAAGCTTCACGAAGTTTTCAACTAAAATACTAATTAAAAAGTAAAAAAAGAAAAGAAAATCACTAAAGAACATTTAAGATTGGACTGTCCAGTAGTAATGAAAAACATTATAAGAAATTTAATCTCATTAAATACGTGCAAGTAATGAAAGACCACTAAAGCATCACGTGTGCTTTCACAAACAGATTGCACACAGGCTATCAAGATTTCAATCACATGTTGAGAGAGACAAAAGCTTTCTTCAACTAAGATGGATCAAGGGCTATCCACTTTTTTTTATTTAATTTTTTTATTGTTATTATTAAAAAAAAATTATATAAGCAAGCTGGAAGGGCTATAATGTATCAACAGAATACAATAGCGAAAGGTATGCAAAGGCCAAATAAAAGGACCAACAGATATATATATATATATATTATATTATATTTATAGGCTATCTATGCCAATTGATATCCCCAAACAAGATGTCATAACTAAGACCACTAGACTAGGGTTTCGAAGGATACTCGTCTGTTTTTTAGGTCCAAAGTCGACAATAGGCCACAAAAAGGGGCATACCACTCCACATACCCACTTCCCTAAACCAGAATGTAGGAATCAATGCCAGATCTTTGCACCAACAAGCTAAAAACTTCACCAGCAGGTTCCAAAAGTTGTTCAATTCCTATTTTATGATCCTTTAAATTTAGGATTTAGAGATGCAAACTAGCATTCTAGTATAACTATCCCAATGCCAAAAAATTTACAACCATGCGGACCCTTACCAGCTCAGCCATACCAGTAAACAAACACTAGACCTTCCTTGCACCAATCATAAATGTAGAAACAATATATGCTACAACAGCCTGGTCTAGTATAAGATTCAATATATTTAGCACAAAAAATGTCAAAAGCCATATATAGAAGCAGCAGGAAATTGAAATACTGACAAAAAGAGAAAGGAGCTGTATTTTAGGATTCTTGCTTCCCAGACGCTTCTTAAGTATTTTCAAGGCATCCTTTGCTTGCCTGCAATTTCAATCCAATCCAAGGGCAGAGAGATAATAACAACATATTTAGTGCAATTGTTAGGTAAAAATAGTTAAGGGTTTAAACAGGTACAAAACTGACATGACTTGAAAGATCCAAGATTCAGATAACATAAATCTAGTTCTGAAATAGAAGAAGATTTAAAGTAACATAGAAAAGATAACAGCTTGGGGATGCTATATCATTTGCAACTAACAAGCAGTTTAGAGTTGGGAATGCCAATAATTTTAAACAAAAAACTTGGTGAATTAACTAGAATGCTCGGGAGATGCCAGCGAACAAATTAATTACGCAAATTGGATGGGCAACAATTATCCAAAAAATAAAATATAATATAAGTTAATTTAGTTGAACAAGTGCACATAATTATAACTCATAGGCACGTATTTGTTGCAACAAGTTACAACATGTTTGGCGCAGGGAAATCAGCATACTCGTGGAGGTTTCAGTCTCTATTTTTTTATAATGATATATGTGAGGTCTGTATTATAAGCCATCCATCCCTTGGTTTGTACTTTGCAGCAACTGCAAGAGATGAGTAATGGAGATTATCTAAGCTTAAGATTGACAGTAGCACTGATAAAAAATTTAGGCTATGCAATGGAATCAACACTATCTATTAAATGTTCCCTAGCAACTTACAAGCATTATAAATGAATTCCTCACAATTGAAATAAACAGTTTTCATAGCAACATAATAAAATGCATGTCATCAAGACATTCAGCTGGTTCTGAATTCACATAAATGGAGCTTCCAATATACAGATGAATCAAAGCATCACAAGAATAATCAACAATATATAACAGACCAAGTAAAGTAAATATATACCCAGGGTCCATGTTTATTATATCGCATAACTCGATATTTATAGCCCAGTCTGGACCGATCAGCATGTCACTCGTGGCCCTCTCAGCAAGAGACACCGCATTAACAGCCATATCTTTTTATTGTACACCCTTTCTCCTCCGTGTCCTCACCTTTGATCTTCATAAAAACAACAAACCCACCACCAAATTCACTCAATCCAAGCATTCAGTCCACATAACATGTACATATAGATATTATATATATAGATAAACACATGAATTCACCTCCTCAAGAATACATATATATATATATATATATATATACACACATCCACATATGCATATTTCACTTCAAAGAGAAACAAGAACCCCACAATCGAACTCTAATTCTTGAATGAAACCAAAACCCCAATAATTAGAGCTTCCAAAACCAAAATTAATCAGAAAATGCATAGAACCCAATAATTGATGGACGAAATATGGTCTTTAAAATAAAATTTCACAAATTAACCACCGACCCCATAACTAAAAAGGCAAAAACCCAAAACCCCAGTTCAGATACAGATCAAAAATGGTGAATCTGTGAGAGAAATTCAGAAGAATTAGCAAAGAATCTTGGAGTCTTACCTGTCAATACACCCACAATCTGGTCTAGAGAGAGAGAGATTTCTCTGTCGATATAGAGAGAGATGAATACGTGGAGTGGTTGTTCTTTTTCTTCTTTTTGGGGTGGGTTTTGTTTGAAGCTCTCTTTGCGTCAGCCTCTGCGCTGTGTGGAATAAAACTTGGACTTCCAATATATACACTTTTTCCTCAATTTGCCGTCCAAAACGAAAAAATAATAGTCAACTCTAACAAATTTCTTCTTTGACTTTTCTTGTTCGTGGGAACTATTATGCGCCGTAAGCGTGTTTGCGCAGCCAACGAACGGCAGCTTGGTGCACAAGTCCTGCATATTCAGAATTTATTATATTCCTTATTTTAATCATCTACACAATTGTCATTGTCAATCTCAAGCGTTTGTGCATCAATCACTTCCAAAAATTTTACCTTAGAGACAATATTTAAACTTTATTGAAAGAAAATGATTTAAAATCCTATAAAACATGAAAACTTTTATTGTAAGATTTAGATTAATTTTTGAGAAAATTCTATTTCGGTGACCAAAATTGAACATAATTAGTATAAAGTAAATCATAAAGTCAAGAAAAAGTGAATAGTCATCAAACCTAAAACTTAATTATTAATAAGTAAGCATTTGATGGTTTATTACATAAATAATTTTTTTATAATATATTATTATGTAAGTAAACAAACTTATCTTGTACATTAAGCTAAATAAACACTTACTTAAATTGACAAACAAAGAAACCACATCTTGTAGCCCTGACTTTAGAATCATTCAGAAAAAAGATAATATATTAAAGCAACAAAGTGAGAAGGACTACCTCTATAAATATTATATAAAGGGCATTTTGAGATGAAACTTTTTTTCTTGATTTGTCACTATAAATATTATGTTTTGCAATTATAGTGGAGAGCTTTGAAAAACACAATGTTCATAAAAAAATTCTAATTTTTTAAATTGGTAAATTGAAAAAAAAAAAAAAAAAAACGTTGGATGAGAGAGAGAGTAGGAGATGAATTTAATGAGTTATTATTTGTATTGGATAGCAATTCTGTCATCTAAAATTTATTTTTAAAATATTTATCAAATATTTAAATATTTTTGACCAAATTATTCTTAAACGGTTACTTAATATCAATTAAGTTTCAACATTGGTCACTATCCATCTTTTCTTAACTTTAAGGTTACTATAGAGCAATTATGTTTAACTTTGTTTATTGAATATTTTGTTTTTCAAACTTACAATTTTTTTTATTGAATATATTTTTATATTTTTGTTTTCAAAAATTTTATAATAAATGTATCTTACCAAACATGATTCCAAATAGTATTAAACATACTTCAAAATATAAATATTACTTCTATTTCACGTCAAAATAAAAGTACGAAACAAAAACAGTTGTCGAGCATACTCTAAAATTTTACAAGCCAAAAAAAATATAACATAATTTATTATAACGCACTCTTATAATATGAAAATTTCTCAAATTGCATTAGAGAGAGAGTGGAGTGTAGAGCCCATCATTATGTGCTCTTTATAACATGGTGCACATTTGTGATAAATTGAAGTAGTACCATTTGTGGGAAGTGAACAAATTTTGCAGTGAATAAAGCAAGATAGACAACTTTAATCATTTTACCATCGAAAATATTAACAAATGAATAAGTACAAGATGCCTCACACATATAATATATGTGTGTGTATATATATGTATATATATATATATATTAAAAATTGATTACTATAGTTAGGTGATGTGCATTAAAAAAAAAAATGTGCATATTAGAGGTTCAAGTGATTGTGGACAACATCATAATGGAGTAGAAGGTATAATTGCACCTTACTTCATTGGGCCATCTATCATTAGATGCAGTAATAAGCCTGGCATTGAAACTTGTAGACGAGTGTCACATGTCAATCTAGGCGTGGTGTGTATATATGTACCACAAAATTAAGCAAAAGTCATGCTTGAAGCTTTGAACCACTGAATATATAGAGGTTCTTCATCTCTTCCATTCAGTTCTCATTTTGTGGCAGCTATGCAATAGGGGTATGTTGTGTCTACAAAATTAGGTATATTGGGTTTGTCTGACTCACTATGCATTGGGTTCGTTGGAATCTTAAATGTTACACAACATTTAGGATGAGTCTGGTACAAGTGCCTTCTCCTTTTGTATAGTGTCTGGGTTTGTACAATGACGTGAATTCATTAGAACTTAAAAAGTTTAACTTGAAGGAATATCAGAATGGGTGACTATTAAAAAGTTTCAGGTATGAGAAAATCAAAAATGGATAAAATTATATCTAGTTAGGGTGAAGGTCTTTATAAATGATATCAGAATTTGACCCAGTTGAAAATGTGGTCAACGAAAACGTTGGACCCGAAAGAAAAATGATTGTGAAAATCTTATAAGCGAGTGTTGTTTGATTGGGGTGAAGGTCGTTATAAATGGTATCAGAACCTGATTCAGTTATAAGTGTGACGAACAAAGCCGTTGAATCTTAAAAACAAATGATTGTGAGAACCTTACAAGCAATTGTATGTAAACATGTACAAGTGATATTAGTATACTATTACACTGAATGAGCTATAGGTACAGATATTGATATAGATGTGCTGATTCCTCTATAACTTAATTGGATGTTTTGATTTCGATATATATCGTACCTAGTATCTTCAAAGTCCACAAAGTTACTGACCAAACACATGCCTACACTAGTACCATACGTCCTTTGTTTGACAAAGCTCGTTGTGTCATCTTTTTGATATATCAACATCTTTGGAAATGTTGTTTTCAATTATCATGTGTTTCTAATATTCACTTGAATTGTTTCATCATTAATTTGTTTGCAAAAAAAAAGGACAGAAAAAAAACATGTATCATATGTGGTTCCCTGGCTTCCAAGCTAGCATGTCGCGACAAAAAAATGCTTACTTGAAGCATAATCAATGTTTACTTCAAGCTTTTTTTTTTTTTTTTTTTTTTTTTTTTTTTCTCTTGTTTTTGGCAGGGTAATTAAGTATCAGTTTGAAAAAATTTTAGTTCACGGTAAGCTCATTTTCAACAAACTTTAATTAATTTTGGCATCATAGTGATGCAAAGTGTGAAACCTGATAAGTATTATATATCTTAACTCTAAATTTTAAGAGGTATTTTGATATATTTTGCATTTGTTATATTGTTCTAGTCTACAGAACTATATTCATTTTAAATTATGCCGTTCTATTCTTTTTATTATTATTTTTTAATACATCCCTATAACTCGTGGACGTATTATATATTGTTTGGGTGAACAACGTAAAATATGTATATTTTATTTTCTATTAATTTTTGCATCATATGAAAATACAGAAGAGATAATTTGTTCCGGATAATAAAATCTCATACTGATATTAGAGGTATAAAATCCACATAAAAGGAGGTGAAAACAACAGATTGGATGTAGCATTTTACTCTTACTGCTATGATCTTTCATTACCCATTTCTTTAAATAATGTTTGCTAGCAGTTTTTTCTTGGCATCTTTTATTTATCCATGGAACTTTGTTTGGTGGTAGTGGAAAGAAAGGAACTTTGAGTATGATAGATAGAAAAAATAAATAAATAAATAAATAATAATAATAAAATAAAAAATTTGTCCATGTTAGATGGGACTGCTTAAATACTTAAAACTGTGAGTGGCGTGCTTAATTAATAAATTTTTAGTATTGCAATCATTTGAGCTTTGAATGATACCGATATATATATATATATATATATATATATATATATATATATATATATATTTCCTTTGCTTTGCTTTTAGTACTCCAACTCCTGTCAACCAACCAGACCATTAAGAGAAAAAGAACAAAATTATGGTATGGCATGGTTTAATGATATGTTCTGCTGAAGAACAAAATTATTATCAATTCTTTATGCATACTTTGTCGGCAGCAGAAAGTTTCATATTCAGAAATTGTTTAATACAAGGTTGAGTGTCTGCACAATCGCCATACTTACAATTTCCAAAACGCGTCTGAAGTTCGAAAAAATAATAATAATAATGGTGGTTTCTCTTTGGCTAAAATCCATTTATGGTTAAACAAACTTGCAATTTAACACTTGAACTCATTGCAGATAATACTCAAAACAACACTCATCTTTTTTCCAAGCAAGACAAATGGAACTTCGAATTTTTCCAAGAACAAAAGGAAAATAAAGGAAAATAAATACCGAGTATATATGTAAAAGACTTTTTATGGATGTGCATATGATGCACTGCAAATTTTCTTCTTTCATAATATCTACAATTTACTTCATCTAGAAATTATTAGTAGGCTCTTTACAAGGATTTTTTTTTTATTTGGTACGCCGATTAAGCCCCGCGGAATTTTCACTTTCCAGTTTTGCTCTTCTTGGTGCAGAAGAAAGACCAGCAACCAGGTATGAAAGCACTCATCTTCCTGCATTACAGTCAAGAATCACATATTACGTACAATCCGATCACCAATAATGTAATATAAATTAATTTAAATTGCTGATACAGTTTCCTTACAATTATTTTAATCTGTTATGTTTATATGCATTATTAAGCCACCTTACTCAATCAAGACAGTTACAATTAATACTAATTTAAGTGTACCTAAACTGTTTCCCATTCAGCTTTGAATTCAAGATGCAAACTAGCCACCATACGCAGTGTGTAGTTTTCTTAGGGGTTAAATATATATTCATACATATATATATATAATACTTTTATATCATTCACAAATATTTGAATAATGCAAATGACTCTGGAGTGGTTCACAACTCTGCTGAATTATAGTTTGTCTCTCAGAATGCTTTGCTTTCACCTCACTACTTAGGGTTCTATACTTCTGAACTTACAATACATTATTTATTTTTTATTTTTTTTAATTCTGAATCATTTTAAACTAAAAATTATCTTGCATCTTGAACTTATCATGCTAACTGAGTCATCACTATATTGATCCAAGATAACTGAATCACCAGTTATGCAGCTTTAAACCCTGACAAGTTTAAATAGTACAGAGACATATGCATACATAAATAAATATACACATAGTCACACACACATCTGTATGTTTCAGTTGGACAAAAATATGATTCAACGACCAGATTCATGATTTGCTGAACAGTATTCAACCCTTCAAATGTGTGTAGAAGTCTATAGGTATTTGCATTATTAATGTACTTGCATTTTACATTTTTTTTTTCGCTAATAGTCTACTCGAGACTTTGACTGGTATAGAATTAAGCAATTTCTTGGACTGGGGGATTAAAGCGTCAGATAAACCTTTCAAAATATACCTAATTTTTGTTACAAATAAGATTTTTTTTTTTTTTTTTTTTCCTTCTGTTTTAATAGTTTTTTTTTGCTCTGTTTCCACAAGAGAAATAGATAATGAAAATTTGAAGATTTACATATTTTAAAGTAATTCTCATTTCAATTTCTTGAGGGAACATACTAGCCTTCAATTCCTAAATTTGGTTCGAGGAAGAAGATTAGGCCCTAAATTCTCTTCTGTTTTTTTTTTCACTTCCCCTGTTTATATACTACCTTCCATGCTTGAAAATTAATCAAATTTGGACTAATAAACTGATATTTGATGCAACAAAAAAGTTGAAATCATGGGTTGTTTTGTTAATATCACTTATTAATATACAATTAATCAAAAAATGCTATTCAGAAATCTAATTGAAGAAAAATAAATAAATTTGTGTATCAAACCTGCCGCTGTTGCTACGGCTGCTGCTGCTGCTGCTACCACTGCTGCCACTATTGCTGGTTGTTACACCACTTTCACTCTCACCGGAACCAACAACTTTTTTCTTCCACCAATCTTTATCAACACCCTTGGAAGATCTATCCGAAACCTCTGGTTTGGGAGAAACTTTAGCACAAGTGTTTGTTGCTTTCTTCTTCTTCTTCGATCCAAAATAGAATGGAATGACCATCTTAAGAAACAACCCTCGATTGTCAATGCTTCCACTCCTCACCATCTTCGCTTTCTTTTCATTCTTCTTGCTCTCTTGCCTCATTACCTTCACCCTCTGATCTACAAATTCACTACCAAAAATTTTCAAATTTTTCTCTCCAACCAAACACTCCTCCTGAGTCTCCACTCTAGTGTGCTCCACGAGATCCTTCAAGGACAGCTCGTACGACGACTCGGGCATGCTCTTGACCATCTCCATGAGCTCCCACTGGCCTCTGGCGATTGCTTGAGTTTTCGAAACCGGAGACAGATGCCCGTAAGCCCTCTGTGGATGCCGCGGAGGCAGGGGACCTCTGGGCGGACTTGTCTTCCACAAAGGCGGCGAGCAAACGCCGGACTCCTCTTCCTCCATGTTCCCAGGCCTAAACTGGACACTCCCGCCGTCAAAACTCCTATAACTCTCGTAGTTCTGGGCTGCCTTTACAGCCTTGGCGCCATAATTCTTGGACCCCCAACCGCCATAACTGTCGCGGGCGCGACCGAGTTCATTTCTTGGATCTAGCATGGTGTTTTTTGCAGAGAGAATTGAGTGGACGAGGAAGGGAAGAGATTTGGTGAATGTGGTTTGTTTGAAGAGGGATGGTGGGTGTGGAGGGCATTGTCATCGATGACCTCGTGTAATTGTCACTTTCTTGATTTTTTATTTTCTCGATAGTTTTATTGGTGTGGCTGGTTTTTGGGGGTATTAGGCTCCATAAAAGTCAAGGCTTTCTAGATGGGTTTGCACGTAGTAGGGTCACCACTTTTCCCCAATTTTCTCGTGTTCCGTCTTTGTTTGAGCTTTAGGTTTGGTTAGTTTTTATGTGGAGGGGAAAAGACTTGGGGGTCCTTTTCATGGGTTTTTTCCTGATTTTTTCCCTACACGAAAATTAGTCCATTGTTTATTCCTTATCAAATTAGAGTCAAAATAAATGCTTATAGTTGAAAGTTCATATAATACTTGATAAATAAATATAAGTGCCTTTAAGCAATATTTGTTCTAGATTTTTATGAATTTTATTCATACGCAATGATAATGATATAAATATAAGAATTCTCATTCTATAAATTGACATGGTAAAAAATACAAGTCTTATAAGATATCACTAAAATAAACAAAGAGAATGACCATCACTTTTCCTATAAAAAAAAAGTGAAATAAATGAGATTTTCTAAAAAGCATATTTAGATAAAAATCTCTATTACCAAAAAGTGTTATTTTGTGTCTATCAAACAAAAATACAAACGCGTTTTCAAAACTAAAAATGTTTTTATCCTATTATACTGCAATGTCAAAGGGATATTAACTAGATGTTTTAATCTAAAGAGAATTTGAGGACTTATTTTCAAAGATATATGGCTAAAGTTCAAGCTCCATTATATGTTAAAAGAAGTTGTGATTAAATTCTGTTTAATTGCATAAAGCCACTTATTAAATGGGATTTCATTAGATGATCTAATTTAGATCCAACAAGGGAGTAAGGCCAATTAATGAGTTGGGTGTTTGTGAAAAAAAAAAAATTTGGGTGTTTTGAAGTATTAAATCAACTAAAAAAAAATCACACAACTTATTTAGACTTTGGTTGGAAAACTTTAATCCATTTTATAAGGGGCTTGACCTTGAGCCAAAATTCAGTAACTCCATTAACTAGGTTCAAAGTAATTGTGATTAATTGCATTAATCCCACTTATTAAATGGGATTGATTTGATCCAAAAAGGGGCTAAACCCTTTTGAAGTATTAAATCTCAGCTTAAAATAATAATAATAATAATAAATAAATCAAACATCTTATTTAGACTTTGGTTAATTTCTTATATAGGGGGCTTGACTTGAGGCAATTCAACAATCCATTTTATTGAAAATAAAATTCATAAGCACCTACATATAAAAAATATATATATAAAAAAATATATATATATATATATAAAAGAAAAAGAAGAAGAAGAAGAAGAAGGATCTATAGCTAGAAGATATTGTATGGGATTTGATTTAGACATGTTGAGGATTAGGATTTCTTTTGAATTGTCACTGAGGGCATTACCTAATTCAGTCTCCTCCTCCATCTTCTATGCACAAGAATTGTGGCCTGATAAAAATATCTTGGGTCACTTTCCAAATTCAGTATTTTAATTTGTTTCCTGACTAAATTAAAATTAAAATACATACACAAATAAAATACAGTGAAACAATCTAAGGGGTTTTTTCTTTTTTTTTTTTTTTTTTTTTTGGGAAAAAAAGCAATCTAAGGATTATTAGGGGTTATTTTACATTAATATTAGATGCGAGGGAGAGCAACATAATTTAAAATAAAAAAATAATGGGTGGTAGGAACAACTACAAGTTCCACGTGTCTATTTGTGGGGACACGTGTGCTGTTATGTTTAATGCTTGATTACGTGTATGATGTAGCTTAAGTTTTCCCAAACAGTATTGTTATACGTCACATGAGATATATAGTTTAGGTGGAAATGAAAGTCTTGGATTTTGCTTGGACAATAAGCTTAAAGGGTTCTTTTCATCCAGTCAACTACCTCTTTGTTTTTATTGATTATCTATTAACATTACTTTATCTTCGTGGCTGTGGCTGCTGATACACACACACACACACACACATTTAAATAAAAATTGCTGTACTTGTAAAGTTGTTACACCATGATTGTATAGGTGGTGATTTTTCTATTGTCTGAAGCAAAAGATACCATTTGTGATGGGCCCTAAAGCTACGAAATATCATAATCACGTAGACTTGCTGCCTTTACAAGTGATCACGCAATAATCACAAGAAAATAATCACAAGAATTTTGATTTTTGGCAGTAAGTGGGTATTCTAGAAATGGCATGACATATGGAAATTGAAAGTAAGCCCTTATGCATAGCTCATCATAAATTTAATTTTCAGGTCAGCCATGAGCACACAAGTGAATGAATGAATCATCTACTCTTCAATACATATAAAAAAATAATAACAATAATTCGAATCTATTTAGTCATCTAATAAAAATTTTAAAATTAAAAAAATACAATTTTTGAATCTTAAAAGTATGATTTGGCCTAAAAGGCTCTTGCCTTAAAAATATATTCGACCAAATTATCTATAAAAAAAAAATTGGATTAGTTAGTCCGTTTGACCTTTTGACGGTCCAAACCGGTTCCAAAATTTTTAACCATCTGTTTGATACAGTACACATACTTTTAAAAATTTCAGCTATTTAAGTAGTTTCCAAATAAAATTATAAGTACTATATTTATGAATTTTTATTGAATTTGGTACATTGCTTTAATATGCATGTGCAAAACTACATTATTAAATGATCATATTATAAGGTGTGTAGATTGATAAAAATGATTAAAAATTTAGTGTTGAACTTCAGTTGTTGAAATCATTCAGTGTTGTATATAAATTTAAAACGTAATTTGGATTTGGCATGCTAAAATCTTTGGAAAAAAAAAAAAACTGAAATATTAAAATGTTTACTCTATGATTTTAACCTCGACACCCCTTATTATAAAACTAATATTGGGATAATCTCAAATAACCAAGAATGACTCGATAGAGCTTATATGGTAGAAAAATGACAATCTCTAAACTTGACAAACTTCATCATACATCACATTGAATGTAAATATTTTATTTTATTTATTTATTTATTTTTATCATGTTAACCTTAAGAGGGGCTGATCTCATAGAATGATACAGACGTTAATTTAAAAAAGCGTAATTCTTAAAGTCAACTATATTATGTAAGAAAATTAAACAAACCAACTTATTCAAAAGAATTAAACAAAAAAATTTGAAAAAATTAAAGATAGGTTTTTTTTTTTTTTTTTTTTTTTTTTTTTTTTTTTTTTTGAACTGTAAAATAGGTAAAAATAATGTCATTTTGAAAATAATTGATCTATAAAAAATGGAGGTCCAAAAATGAAATCGAAGTATCCAGCATTGCTATGCTTCAATGTGGGATCCAACTTCATAAGGGTAAAAAAAAATGTGGGATCCAACAAATGAAAATGGTATGAATGAATATTTGTCACTTTACGTAAAGTGTAATAAATACTTATATAGGGTGTTCTTTTTTTTTTTTATACTTAAAATTATAAACTATTTTATTATGTTGTAGAATAACTTAATTTAAGATTTAATTATGAAGAAGTAAAGTTATACTCTAATTAAATACGGATGATAGCAATTTAGATATCACTTAAAAAACAAGTTTCACTTAAAAACAGGAACTAAATTTTAACTAGTAAAAACTTAAATTCTCACTGCTGAAAATTTAAACAAGCATCAAAAGAGTTCTCAAATTACAATCATAACTTAAAATTTTAATATTTAATTTTCAATTTTATTAAACAACAATATCTGCCATCAAACAAATTTAGTGAAAAAATTTACCAGTTTTAGGAGTTAATCAAGTTTTGCAATTTAATACTTACTTATGAATTAAAAAGTGTTGTTTGATCTGAATAAATTAAACGCTAATTCATTAAGTGTGTTTGATAATAAAGTAAAATTTTAAATGATAAGGGCATTACTTATCATTAATCATTGAATGTTGAACGCTAAAAATAAAAAAAAAAAATTTAAAAAAAATTATTTTTAATTATTAATTCAAATTTTCAATACTTAAAATTTAACTCCTAAACCGTACTTAATTTTTAATTTTATCTAACAACCTTTGATCAATATTCAATTAAATATGTTTGGTAACGCAACTTGAACCCCATAATGAATTCTACTAAAAATTGAGTAAAATTTCAAGTGCCCAAAAATAATAATAATAATAATCTCACATCGATTTCAACATTTAAAACATGTGCAACTGTTAAAATTTTTTAATTAAGAATGATTGTCTGATAGTATCTTTTTTATATATGAAAGTGAAATGAGTTGAGGAAAGAAAAATATTAATCTGTAGTAATATATTATTACTTAAACACTTGGGTTTATAAAATTTGAGTCCTTAATTTTCTTTGTAGTATTTTTTTTTATTAATTTTTCGTATGAATTTTTTGGCGATAGAGGATCATACACACAAAAACTAAAATAAATAAATAAATAATAAGTAAAGCAGAAAAATAAATAAAAACGAGGAACTGCGTACTGTATATAAAATAATTCTTGTCCTTTGGTTGCGCTGGAGGGAATTTACCGTTGAGGCTTTCAAAAATAAATTCAAAATGCTCCGAGAGCGATTACAGAGATGGAACAAGGCGAAGAAGAAGCAACAACAGTAGCAAAATTGTCTTAAACCTGGTATTGTATACCTGCTTTATGTAGAGCTTTATAACAGCGTTATTCATGGTAGCATAGCATTTGTATGTACCCATTTCTGAGGAAAGCTCATGGACTGCACACAACCTCACTGTCCTTTTATTCTAACCTCATTGACCGCTGTCTCTCATTGAAATCCTTGGGTGTTGCTAAACTCATTCATGCCCAGTTAATAAAAGTTGGTTTTAACTGCAATACTTTTCTGGGTAATCGCTGTATTGATCTGTACTCTAATTTGGGCAAATTTAATGAAGCTTTGCAAGCATTTGATGACATACCCAACAAGAATATAGTTTCCTGGAATGTTAGCTTGAAGGTGTTTGTTAAATCCGGCGATATCGACGGCGCACGTTGTTTGTTTGATAAAATGCCTGAGAGAGATGTTGTTAGTTGGAACTCGATTATTTCGTGTTATGCTTCAAATGGGTTTGCGGATTGTGCATTAGGGATGTTTTCAGAAATGCAAAACAATGGTGTGAGACCAAGTGGGTTCACGTCCTCCATTATGGTGTCTTCTGTGACGTGTGCTCGTAATGGCAAGCAAATTCATGGCTGCATTATACGGAATGGTTTGAATTTGTCGAATGTGGTGGTTGGTAATTCCTTGATTGACATGTATGGAAAGCTTGGTCTTTTGGATTACGCTTTTGCTGTGTTTTTTACTATGGAGGAGTTGGATGTTATCTCCTGGAACTCGTTGATTTCGGGCTTATGTAAATCTGGATATGAAGAATTGGCATTAAATCAATTCTATTTGATGAAATCTGCAGGATATTTACCTGATGAGTTTACCATATCGACAGTTGTCTGTGTCTGTTCAAATCTGCGTGATTTGGAAAAGGGTAAGCAATTTATTGCTTTATGTGTAAAGGTGGGTTTTCTTTCTAACAACATTGTTTCAAGTTCCGCTATTGACCTTTTTTCCAAATGCAACAGATTGGAGGATTCAGTAAAACTCTTTGAAGAAATAAATAGACGGGACTCCGTTGTTTGCAATGCCATGATTTCAAGCTATGCAGAGCATGGTTATAAGGAGGATGCTTTGAAACTTTTTGTCCTTACTTTGAGAGACAACATTAGGCCAACTGAGTACACTCTCAGCAGTGTTTTGAGTTCTGCTTCTTCGCTTCTTCCAGCAGAGCAGGGGAGTCAATTCCATTCTTTGACTATTAAACTAGGTTTGGAATCTGATATGGTCATTTCTGGTTCACTTGTGGAAATGTATGCTAGTTTCGGATTAATTGACTGTGCGATGAAATTTTTTGCTCAAACCAATGTAAAAGATTTGATATCTTGGAACACCATGATTCTTGGTTTGACTCGCAATGGGAGAGTAGCTGAAGCCCTAGACCTTTTTAAAGAACTACTTGTGGAAGGCCCACCACCAGATCGAATAACATTAACTGGGGTTCTGCTAGCTTGCAACTATGGTGGTTTTGTGGATGAAGGGTGGAGCGTACTGTCTTCTATGGAGAAGAAATACGGAGTCATACCTAGGCTTGAGCATTATGCTTGCATCGTGGACATGATGAGTCGAGCTGGTAAACTCAAAGAAGTGATTTATGTTGTGGAAACAATGCCTCACAACCCCAGCGCTTCAATTTGGGAATCAATACTTCGTGCTTGCAGCTTCCATGGAGACTTGAAACTCACTGAAAAAGTTGCGGAAAAAGTGATCGAATGTGAGCCAGAGTCATCTCTTCCTTATCTACTATTGGCTCAGGCATATGAGATGGGGGGCAGATGGGAGAGCATGGTTCGAGTCAAGAAGGCCATGAAAGAGAGAGGTGCAGAGAAGATGATCGCATGCAGTTGGATTGGGATAAAAGACCATGTGTTTGTTTTTAAAGCAAATGATATACTCTATTATGGAGGCCAAGACGTTGACTTGGTATTAAGATTACTGAATCAGGAGATGGAGGATGAAGGTTGTGGATCAACAATATGATGAAGTAGTTTCTGAGGGAAAGGAAGAGTGAAGTAAAAAGAAGAGGAAGAGCGTGTATATTTTTATAAACTGATATATTTATTGATACAGTTTGCTTATTTTCTTTTTGACGGTGTAGCCGCAAATTATTGAATGACAAGATCAGATTTGTCACTGACAACATTCAACTAGAATCATATTTGTCTCTCCTATGCTCATATGACGGCCAAGAGTTGGTGGTGTTGATATTGTTATTACAAAATTCAAACTGGTCCCAACTGGGCTTCATTATACTGGATGCAGAGGAGCTTTAATTTTGTCATCGAATTGGATCTCACAGCTCAGAGACAAAGAACAAGTATAGATGATAACACAATTTGTTTGACTTAATTAGGAAGTTGCTTGCTTAAGCATGAGTTGTTTCAATCACAATATGGAACCTGAATCAGCTCAGATCAATGTTTAGTGTCTGTTGCTCAGACCTCAATACACTATAGGGCTGGCTACTAGGTGAAGATTGTCATTGGAAACCTTATGGTTGATATTTAGTATTACTGGCCCATATCAGTTTTTGTTCGAGCAGGTAATGTTGGCTAATTAGTTCAAGTAAACAGATCCAGCAATGCTTTTTGGAATGGAGTAAGATTACTTAAGGGGCTTTTTCTGGGGTTACTCTGAAGGCAAAGGTGGTTCAATTTCGAACCAAACAGTTGGTCATCTTTCCTAAATGCTTGAGTCGGTTACTTTGTTTAGACAGGCAACTTCAAATCAGGTCATTCCTCCTCTATCGGTTGCCGATCACAGGGCTCAAAAATTACAGTGCCACGCATCCATTCTACTTCAAGTCATTCCTCCTCTATGGGTTGCCGATCATAGGGCTCAAAATCATGGTGCCACGCATCCATTTGATTGGTGAGGTATGGAACTCATAATATTTGAACATCTGGATTCATTCCATCAACAACATTGAATATTGTTCTTTCAAATTAATCATAAGAAGTTTCTAGATGGTACTGTTGGTGCGAGTTCAAGTCTCGTAGTAGCTACTTTGTGAAATATCAAAGATAAGGTCAGTCTTGAGTCCTCGCTCCCGACTTTATTGCTGAAATAGAGCTATCTCGAACCTATGACAGTAAGAGCAGCTTATGACGTAATTCAGTAAAACTTTTACAGTGTAGTCATAGGCTCCCTGCTGATGTTCCTGTATAGAGCAGATCTGCTATACTGGGGCGATATGATGATTGATGACAATTTTCTGCTGTAAATTTAAACTGTAAATGAATCAACCGTTAGCAGCAAATTACAATATATCTCTTTTCTAATTGTCACGTGCTATATTCTTTTTAGCACATAAATCATCCACAAGTTTGAAAACACCATGGTTGGGCTCTGGTTTAACAGGGGCAAACCTGATTCATTGAGAGGAAGAACAGGCTGTTACCTTAGCTACCTTGTTTTCCACTATCAATTTAAGCTTATGTTTCTTTAGGCTTGAGTTTGAAGAAGGTTAAATAAACCCTCCACCTCGGGCATTACGAAAAAAGCCCTAAATCTGGATTTTTTTACTCCACAGCCTATGCCTTTTCTGCTACCAGACTTCTGTAAAAGAGACATAGATAAGCAGCATATCAAAGAAAAGGTGTAGAACCCAAGTTGGATTTATACCTCCTTTGCTTTGATCCACCTTCCTGGGCAGGGAAGAGAGTGAAAATGGATTGCGGATGGTGGTCCTGGTATATCTGGGAAGATGCTAAAGCCTCAATTTAACAATTGTACATACAGGTTCATACGTATGCACTATGTGTATATAGTTAAATAAACAGACACACATATATTTGTTATATGTGCAATTGTGCATGTGTTTGATGAAGTAATAAAGAAGTTTCCAGCTCATTTTTAGCATTGCAAGCATTTTTTGTTTTGCGTGATACTGTTAGACCACCCTGTTGGTGTTTTGTGCAAAAATATGTAAAACGTTTTTCAAGTGACTTTGTTTGTTTGTTTGTTTTTTTTTTTTAATTACAAAAAAATACCAAGGTAAAAAATAATTTAAAAGAAAAATGCATTTCAACTGTCCAATCGTATGAAATTTGAAAAAAATAATAATGATAAGAAAGAAAAATGAATGATTAACAAAAAATAAATAAATACCAGTGATGTGGGGGAGTCACATAAGGTTCAACCGAGGCAACTACCCTCCTGAAAACTCTTGTACGTAAACAAATTAGTAATTGTAAAAATGCCTTATTTACCAACTCCAAATTTAAAAGATTTCACACTTTTCTCTTTCACCATCCCATTAAGTTCTAAAAGAACCTCTCTTCAAAATTAGGGTTGCAACTTAGACAGGATTAACCCGGACTAATCCAAGCCCAGGTCAAAAAAATTTGGGAATGGACGGTGTCACTTGCAATTTGGTCCAAACTTAAATCGAAAATTAACAACCCGATTTCATTTTGGGTCAGCTAAGGTTATTGTGTTAGACAACCCTATGCCCAACACGAGCTCGTCATGAATTATAGAACTCGAAGAGCCCAACATATATGTAAAATATATATTTGTGTTAATTGCAAGTGATTAGTTATTTAGTGGGTTCACTATGTTGCAATACATACATGCGAACCCTAACATATCTTTGGAAAATATCAGTCAAATTACTAACCTAGTAACCCTAATATGGTTATTTCATTTGTTATTACTGCAATCGAAATTCTAACTCGAAATAGTAACTTGAGTTGATAGTCTAAATTCAATATGAAATTTCAACCCAAGTTGCAAGCCCAAATTCAAACCGAGCTTAAAAGATTAATGGTGAGTTGGCCTCAAATTGATTGTTGAAGATTTCATATCTTGAGTTGAGCCCCTGAAAGTCTAAATTCAACGAACTTAAAAAATGAATGATGAGTTGGGCTCAAATATACGGTTGAAGATTTCATATCTCAGATTAAGCCCTCCAACCCACCAAGTTGCACCTTTACTCAAATTTTGAAAAATTCTCGATACTTGTGCAATTGAACGAGAGTCGGTGAATGAGTGGGATCAAGAATGAAATTCCGATCAAGTTGATTGTAAGGGTCAGTCTCAGATGCTTGAACTTTGGATACTTTACTGATGGGGTTCAAGAAGGAATAAAATGTTGAAGGTTGTACCCTAATGTTACATTTTTTTTTTCTTTTTCTAACCAACATGGAAGGAGAGGATGAGGTGAGTCAAATCTGGGCTCCCATACAACTTAAGAAAGTGCATTTACCAACTAGGCTACCTAACTCCAGAGGTGCACAAAAAATCGGTTGAATTTGACCTCTGTTCTTTAAGAAAGTGCAATCGTTTCACCTATGTTCTTCAAGATTTGAATTTGATGTAGAATAAATAAATCTGCTTCTCAGATCGTTGTAGATCACTCTTGTAATTATATGTGTGTTCTAGAAATAAAAATAGAAAAATCAAATTTGATTTTCTACAGAATATCTCTCAGGCTTTTTAAGAATCAGAAGATGTAATGCAAAAGCTGTATCAACCTAGATGAAAATCAAGGTTTATATAGAATTTTAAAGACCTCGATATATATAGGAAAAGGTAATTTTCATGCATAGGACTTTTGAAAAGAATTCTATATCAAATAGGAAGTTTAGATAGAATAGGAAACTAAAATCCTAAACTGTATGGAACCGGTTCCAAAGGTGGCCAACTTTGGAACCGGTTCCCAAAGGACGGGATGCAATTCTTCGAAGTTAAGGTTCTTGAACTAGTAATAAAGTTTGGTACCGGTTACCACATGACATAATTGAAAAAGAAGGTTTAACAGTTTTGAAAATTTCTATTTTGCAAACTTTGAAGAAACACATATGGTATGTATAGTCTCCTAAGTGTGAAACAACTTCTTAAAGTGTTGTTCATACCTTTTTCATAAATCATAGTTTATCAAACTTGAACAACTTTCCAATTCCGTAGTCGATCTCGATCTTGATTTGGTAACTTGAAAATTTGAACTCGATCGGACTTATTTTGACACCGAAAATAGTCAATTAGAAAAATTATATCTCACATTTATCATGGTTTGGTTTGGGTTTCAAAAAATATGGAAACGTTTATATAAATGGTTTGAGATTCTACAAGACCAAACCGTTTTATAATGTTTTGGAGTTCTTTTAGTGGTTGTTTTTGGATCGGTATTATACAAAAAAAACATAATAATAAGATTAGCTTTTTAACCACTCAACTATGTATCATAATATATAGTAAAAAATATATTATAATAGAAAATTATATTATATATCATGTATATTTTTAATTATATATATATTAGATTGTATTATAAAAAAGTTTAGAACTGTGAAATTGAGCCGAACACGGTTTGGTTCGGTTTGGTTCCATTCATTTCATGGCTCGGTTTGGTTTTAATTTTTATCGAACCGTTAAAATTGGTTTGATTTTAAAATATTCATAAACTGGTTGTAACAACCCAAATTCGGGGATTCGGATCGCTAACCTGGTCCTTACCCGGACCTGAGGTGACACAAGGGTACTATGATCATTTCATATTAATTTAATCATTTAAGGTCCACTAAGGGTAGAACCGTCATTTTCTAGAGTCATTCCATGAATTAAATTAGGTTTGGGGGCCTTGTAGTCATACCACGTCCTTCTAATGCTCCTAGAGTTCATAGGGGTTTAATGGTCTTTTTGCATGGTCAAATAATATTACCCAAAAGGGTAAAATAGACTTTTACCATATTCAAATGGTGATATAAAAGCCATTGGGGGCAAAATAGTCATTTTTTGGTCAAAATAAAACATTCACACCCTTTAGGGTAATTCTGTCATTTTCAAGGGTCATTCTGCACTTTAGTTGGGGTCTAGGAGTCATTAGGTAATTATATTGAAATATGAAGTCCTTGTGAACATATTAGTTCATCTAACTGGTTAGGAGATTTCTCCTAACCGTGTAAGTCTTCTGGACCATTCATCTACTCGGTTTCCTAACCGAGTAGACCGAGTAGATGAATGGTCAAGAAGACTTACACGTTTTCAAATCACATCTAACCGGTTAGGAGATTTCTTATAACCGGTTATGTAAATAGCCAATGGAAAAATTGTAAAAAAGTCATACCTAACCGGTTAGGAAACTTTATCTAACCGGTTACATAAGGAAAATTATCCAACCCCTTCTCTGCCCCATACATCTAACCAAAGTATGAGAAATCTCTTACCCAGGTAGTAGAACACCCAAATTCTTATCTAACCGGTTAGGAAAACCCTTCTAACCGGTTAGATGGGAAAAACCCATCAAACCAACACACTGCCCACTCATCTAACCGGTTAGGTGTTCCTATCTAACCGATTAGATGATGCCCACAGATGAATCTAACGAAATTTCTACTTCCAAAACCCAACCAAATGCAATCCCCAAACACCTAAACATGAAATTAAATCTCTAAGAACATCATCAACCATAAAACGTTTCATAAAATCTACAAATAACATCATTCATACATCATTGAAACATTTATACAAGTGTAAAAGAATATGTTTACAAGATGATGAGGCTTCCATGACCATAATTACAAAAGCTTTACTTGAAGCTCACAAAAGAATATAATTACATTGCAAAATCATTATCCATACTAGTCCATTACAAAAGATATCAAAAGTCCATTCGACACTTCTAAGCTTGTAAGGGTGCGTCGTCTACAATATCCTTGCCATGTCCTGAAAATGATAAATATGGGGTGAACACGACGGCTCAGTAGGAGATGCCTAAAGCATTAGCTTTGGGCTCCCTTGAGTCAACATACAAAGAATACCTAAAAGAAATCGGGGTCATGCGTGGAAATGCTAATAAACCACAATCAACACAAACATACCATCATGCTATGAAATGTCATGCTTTCCCAACCATAATTCCCGCCCTAACTCCACACACACCGAAACCCGCTAACCGACTTTACCGAGGCGAAATTAATTAGCTATCCCTAGTTCCAAATCCGGCAACTATTTGGGGCCTAGCAATCAACTTTACACGTCCTATCCGGCACGCGCTCCCTCTAGGTCGAATTAGCCCCTGGCTTGCGAAACCCGGTCCCTTTCATAAAATCATTTTTCCAACCATTCCCAAATTACTTTCTTTTTTTAAAAAAACATTTCAACCACTATTTCCCAACCATGCTCATGCCACGAATGAAATCATGCATTATAGATCAATATTTTCATGTTTATAATGTCTTAGCAACTGAATTACACATATAATCAACATCACATTTAGACATGATTTTTCTATTCAACATATAACACCATTTTAACCTAAAGTTTAACATTTAGAGCAAGTAAAACATGGAATCAAGAAAAAAAAACTCAAACAAGAGAGAAAACATGGTACTTTAAACATTCCTACCTCAAGAATGCAACCCAAAGCCCCTAGCTCCCAAGCTCGAAAATCCCCAAATACATACAAAACCGGTAGAGAAATGTAGGCCTTGAAGAGTAGAACAACTTTTCTTCCTTGCTCCTCACCTAGATCTTCCTTTAGCTAGCTCAAATCTTAGAAAGAAGCTTGAGATTTTAGAAAGAGGAAGTGAAATGGAGGAGAGAGAGAGAATGCCGAATGGGAGAGAGAAAAGGAAATGATGTGGGTGGTAGTGGTTGGTGGATATATAATCCAAAATAAAATATGTGGCCCAAATCAAGTCTTCCACCATTGACTTGTCCTTGTACCAAACTACCCTTCTCAAACTAACCAATTTCATACACGCCCCCTTCTTAATTAACCTCTTCCACTAACCAACATGAATATACATATATACATCCATATATATATATATAACACAACAATGACCTAAATTAAATAATGACGCACTAAAATATACGGGGTCCCACACGACGCATAAAACGATGCACAGAGAAAATAAATAAATAAAATAAAATAAAAATTTGAAAAAAAAAAACCAAAAAAAAATTCAGGACATTACAATCTACCCTCCTTAAAGAGATTTCATCCTTGAAATCTACCCTCCTTAAGAAGGAGGTCCACAACTAAACACTTTCCCGAGAAACACCCCAACAAACCCACAAAACTATTAGCTCACAGACCTTATTGCCTTTGACACCGGATGTCAATAGGCAATCATACACCACTGCCACTAGCAACACAATGCTCACCACCCTATATGGGTACTCATCGCACAATGTTCTACCATGTTAACCATTGGATCCTATACTTAGTTTTACAACCAACATCGGGCACACCCTATACATCCATACTAAGCTTTGAAGCTCGCAAGGAAAACGGTCACTAGACCACTAAATATAACGAAGTCT